GACAGCACCTGCATTCTGTGCGATCTGTGATGTGTGCTGCAGGGCTAAGATGTCCTTACAGAGAAACAAAGACACAATACACAATGTCTGATGCACTGCATACTTTCACTCTACTTTTTCCTAAATCTATTGACTGGGGGAAAACATGAAAAAGAAGGCTGAATACGATCACTGGTGAGACACACATCCTATTTGATTTATTTACAGTTGAAGTCAGAATTATCAGCCCCCTTGTTTATTTTGTCCCCAATTTCTGTTTAACAGAGAGAAGATTTTTTTCAACACATTTCTAAACATAATAGTTTTAATAACTAATAACTGATTTATTTTGTCTTTGCCATGAAAACAGTAAATAATATTTAACTAGAAATTTTTCAAGACACTTCTATACAGCTTAAAGTGACATTTAAAGTCTTAACTAGGTTAATTGGGTTAACTAGGCAGGTTAGGGTAATTAGGCAAGTTATGGTGTAACGATGGTTTGTTCTGTAGACTATTGTAAAAATATATTAAAGGGGCTAACAATTTTTGACTTTAAAATTGTGTTTAAAAAAATTTTAAACTGCTTTTACTCTAGCCGAAATAAAACAAATAAGACTTTCTTCAGAAGAAAAAATATTATCAGACATACTGTGAAAATGTCCTTGCTCTGTCAAACATCATTCGGAAAATATATAAAAAAGAAAAAAAAGTTCAAAGGGGGCTAATAATTCTGATTTCAACTGTATTATTATTATTGCATTGTTATTTATGGTCACACTTTATTTTGATGGTCCACTAATTCTCATTAGATTATAAGTAGACTGTTTGGTTAGGGTTAATGTAAGATGACATGTCTTTGCAAAGTTTCTTATAGTTAAATTAAATATCTGTTGAAGGAGCAGTATCAACAGACATTAAACAGATAGTCTACTAATACTCAAATCGACCATCAAAATAAAGTGTTACCTTATTTATTTATTTTTTACTATTATTTTTTTCTTTATGTGTGCTTTTTTTATTTATTATATTATTTATCTGTATTTACTGGATTGTTAATAGCAAAGTCTGATTACTGTAACTGCCGCTTTTAGAGAGGGAGGGGAAACGGGATGTTAAAAGGATGTAAAAATGTGTAAACTGATAGTACTGTTAAATTATTGAAGAAAATAAAAATTTCATCATAAAAAATAAAAGGACATTAAAAGATGCTGGATTATAGGACCCATCTTCATCACTGAGTGCAAAAATTAATATGGAAGTTAAAAATGTAACCAGTATTTTTGGAAATATTTTAAGAATAGGTTACCTTCTATGAAAGATACCGGTTTTGAACAAGTGAAGGGTGAATAAATGAGGGCAGGATTATAGTTTTTGGGTAAACTATCCTTTTAAAAAAATGTAATTCAGGAAACTATCACAGTTGCTAGTTTAAAAAAAAAGCATATGTGGAAAACATGAAAACAGTCACACTTAACAATGTAAATAATGGTACCTTTTAACATAGAAACATCTGTAGTTTACTATTAAGAGCATAAATAATATAAAATGACCGGTTGAAATAGTTATAAATAATAAACCAGTAGGCTTGGTGGTTAGCTCTGTCAACTCACAGCAAGAAAGTCGCTGGTTCGAGTCCTAGCTGGACCAGCTGGCCTTTCTATGTGGAGCTTGCATATTCTCCCCATGTTAGCGTGGGTTTCCTCAAGGTGCTCTGGTTTCCCCCAGTCCCATTGGTGAATTAAATAAACTGAATTGGCTGTATATGAGTGTGTATGGATGTTTCCCAGTACTGGGTTGCAGCTAGAAGGGCATCCACTGCATAAAACATATGCTGGAATAGTTGGCAGTTCATTCCGCTGTGGCTACCCATGATAAATAAAGGGACTAAGCTAAAGAAAATGAATTAATTAATGAATAAAACAGGGATTAATACAATAAATAAATGTCAAAAATCAAACTATATTGTTTTTATATATTTTATAATCGAGGACTTTTGAGGCTCATAAATTTACATATATAATAGACATACATGTGACATTCCTCCCGACCATGGACAATTTGAGCAAAGAAATTAAGTAGGAAATGGCCACACTTGCTGAAACCCCACGCCTCCTTGTGGTTTTCATAATGCACTGCAGGACAATCACATGCTTGGAGCCCAAACTTGGGAAAAATACACTCATCAGCCCTTAGTTTAATTGCCTGTTAATGCAAATATTGAATCAGTCAATGAAACAGCAGCAACTTAACACGTTTAGACATGTGGATGTGGTCAATACAATCTGCTGTAAGTTCAAACTGAGCATCAGAACGAGGAAGAAAAGAGAGTTATTTGATTTTAAATGTGTCCTGGTCAATTAATGCAAGATGGGCAGATTTAGAATCAGCTGATCTACAGGGATTTTCCACATACAAAAATGAGCTGCATTCACTAAACCTCGAAAATAAAGCAGCAAAATGTGATTGAAATTCTCAAAACCTATTTTTCTTTAAGAAACAACCCCATCTTTCATCATTAACTCTACTCTCCTCGTTAGTATTTCATTACCGTTTATTCACTGGACATCACTTCTTTAAACCAAAGTAAGTGTTTATATTTTCTAATACTAAATGTCCCTGCATAGCAAGAACATTTGAAAATAGAAAATTGTTAGTTTTAGAAAAGTCATCAAACATCAAATAAAAAAAAAAAGAAAAGAAAAAAATCTGCTGTTAAATGGGTCACAGGTAATTTCTGACCCTTTAGTCAACAGGAGGATTAAACACTACAGTACAGTAAATCTATGTGCATTAAGTTATGACCACAGTTGTGATAGCTGTACTTAGCTGTACCCCGTCACAAAGCACAAATCGTGTCAGACTTGTTTGCTGAATATTCATTTATTCGTTTTCCTTCAGCTTAGTTCCTTATTTATCAGGTGTTACCACAGCAGAATGAACCGCTAACTATTCCAGCATATGTTTTACGCGGCGGATGCCCTTCTAGCCACAACCCATTGGGGTTCTCGCATTCACTCAATGGCCAATTTAGTTGATCCAGTTGTTTGGATTATGGCAGATACCCGGAGAAACCAATGCAAACACAGGGAGAACATGAAAACTCCACACAGAAATGCCATCTCAAACCATTGCCAGGACTCAAACCATTGACCTTCCATGCCGTTAGGCGACAGTGCTATCCACTGAGCCACCATGCCACCTCCATGTTTCTCGAACATGACTACTGTAATGGCCATCATGATCACTAGATCTCAGTTTAGCAGAGCGCCTTCAGCAGAGTGCCATAATCTGCAGGTAAGAGCTTTAAATTTAAGACCAATGTTAAAGTTAGAGTACCAAATTCGCAAAAAAAAGAGCACAAAATAAAGAGTGAAATGCCAGCAAGCCCTGCTTGCGTAAGAGAAATCCCTATGAGTGCGTATGTTTTTGGGTTCTGGGTGACAACATTTTCTGTACTGGGGTCAGTTCAATTGGATTTTTAAGACCTTTTAAAACACAAATTTAAGACATTTTAGGACTAGTTTAAAAAGGGTTGTCCACTACGATATCAAATTTTAAACATAAACAATATCTCTGAATGTAATTGCTCAATGTAAAGAGAGACATTGGCCTTTACAGAGTTAGCTTACCAAAGCCGACAGCGAATGAAGTTTGGGGACTACAAAAAAATACATGCAAGTTAGTGAGATCACAAACATGAGTTCACACATTCACCACGCGCATACATCCCGTCCAGCACAGGGAGTGGCCAGAGGCGCTGTGATGTTACAGCAGAGAAAGCTAAAATGCTGTCTAAATGCTGCTATTTCCACAGAGCTCGTTCTGTTTTTGTATTTTGGCTTCCAAAGGACAAGACACAAAAAGAGAAGTGCTTACAGTTTCATACTAATTATGGTACAGAGAATTATAAAAAATATATAGCTAGCATTTGACAAAGGACAACTTTCAGAATCTCTTCCAGTTCAGTGTTGGATTCAGCTAAAAACAATAACAAACAAAGCTGTGGATTGTGAACCTCGATCTATAAGTGTTTCTATTTTGTTAAAATTGATCTATGACATGCACAGTTTCTAGTGTTAATGGGATGTTGTTGATAGGATGTAAACAATGGGAAATGCTGTTTGGCATCGTTAACAATTTAGCTACAAATTAATATTTATCCATCAAACCTCTGTTCACACAATCATCATCAGTGCTGCAGTGTCTCTCTATGCAGCCGCAATTATGCGTTCTACATCTCAAATATATATATAAGATAATAAGATAATATTATATATATATATAAGATATTTGAACGTGTATTACTTACATGCTTTTAACCCAAATATATGTGAAAGACACTTGTCAGATTTTATTTTAGAGAGCAGGAGTGGTTCAGCTGTGTCTTCTTTTGTGCCACTAAGAGCTACTCTAACTGACAGTATTTATACAGCACAAATGCATGTGCTTGTAGGGGCATGACGCTTTTCCTGGTGACGTGGAGCCGATCCGCAAATCACAGCACATTATGTTAGCTGGCCAATCAGAGCCTCTTGAGTGTGGGCCTTTCAGAGGAACTAGGAAATATGTCGTTTTCATGTTAGCTGTTTGGGTGTATAAAATTAAAGTATATAGAAACATAACATGATTTTTTTTTTCAAATGAAGCATGTGCACACATTGCTTTGCATCTTATAAACACTACCAAGCCTTAAAAACATGCTCTGGACCACCCCCCTAAGGCCTTATTTTTTTACTATGGAATTTAAGACTTTGTAAGGATCTGCAGACATGCTGTAATTAAGCAGACTAAAAGTGATCTTGCCATCTACGCCATAAGGTTGTGAATTAAGCAAATCTCATGGACATGCTTTGCAGAACTACACCAAGGTGAGCATTTGTATTTGAACATTTTTTTTTGTATTATTTCTAAAAATGGCTGATTGTTTCTCAATTTTTGGGTTTGGATCATGTGGATTACTTGCTGCCCTTTTTTTCTGATCTAATATCACAATAAAAGAAAACACAAAGATTCAAAAGTCCTTTGCTTCATTTTATTGCTGCATGACAGTCTAGCACACTAGTATGTAAAAGAAACAGTTTTTGGAGGCATAATGTCAGCTGCCACAAGATTTATTTATTATACCCTAGATGTAAGTATAAATTGGTTCAAATATTTCATATCAAGCTTTAACTTTGAACCAAGGTACTTGCATGTTGGTTGTTCGTTTGCGTACTCGTTGCATCTTAATGATTAAAGTTGCATCGGCCAGGCTGGTGAAGGACCATGCGGTGTTTGCGAGAGAAGTGTTGTGGAAGACGCTGACGGATGTTGTTCTGCCGCTGAATGCAGTTACGGCCGAGACTGTGGCGGTTGGCACGAGCCTGCGCCCGCTGTATTCTGCCCATCTGTGTGACTTTGACCAGAGCTCCAGCCTGAGAGACCAGTCGCTGAGAGACTCGACCACTGCTTCGGGCTACTGGGACTTCTGGTTCAGCGATGCTTTACAAAGAGAACAAGACACCTGGTTATGTCGAGCCGATACAGACTGTCAGTGTCAATATTGCTGGGAATAAAGTGATCCCGACTGCAGTCTCTGAGCAGATGTGGTGAATTTACCTCGCCTCGCTGACCAAGCTGGCAGCACAAATCTCAGTGTTTGACAGGCTTCCTATTAACTTGAACTGCAGCTCGCCGGTTTCAGATGACTCTCCATCTACAGAGAAGAGAAATGCAGTTAACAGAATGACATGAGAAGCTCTATCTTTACTCACCCTCAGGCCATTCAATAAGTAGGTGACTTTTTCCCTTCAGTAGAATAAGACAATGCTTAAAACTTAAACTGACGAGCTACATTTTTTGTACAGACTGATTGTTTTGCTTTAATAAGACTTCAAAGTATCATCGAGAGTCGCAGATATTAACTTTTTTCAAATAAAATAAGTCATCTACAGCTTGAAAAGCCTGGGGGTGTTTGCATGAAAAGCAAACGTTCATTTTTCAAATGATCTATCCCATAGAATAGGTACAATCACATTTGCTATGAGACAATTGTTATCTGTGCTACACTCAAAAAGTGATTTTCGCTGCTTGTTTAAACTCCATATTTCAAGAGTTCACACTCAGATATGCTTAACGCTATTAGCATGCTGTCCCGGGAGAGAACCTGCCTGGTCAATAAGTATATAAGGTGGTCTGAGATCAGATCTTTTGAGCTCCCTCTGGTAAAGGGAGAAAAAGGAGGAGATGGGGTGGAAGGGGGTATTCTTCCAAATCGAAGATAAGGTAGTAGGTTGAGGTCTTCTGCGGCGTGGGAATAAATTTCCGAATAAAGCGCGGGGGCAGTCCGAAACTGGTTTAATTTTGGACGGGAGCAGGCCGTATAGGAATATCGCCCCCGACTCCCGAGCGAGCGAGCACATGTATGTATGTGTGTGAACGAGACAGCGTGATGCTGCTTAGTTTTTTTGTTGCAGGCTTGTTATAGGCTGTCTGAACTGTATAGCTGGGTGGTTTTCGGTTTTGTTCTCCCCCCGCTTTTTAGCGGAATCGGGCGCGGCGGGTGGAAAATGGGGCAGGCGGATCAGGCAGCGGGACAACAAATGCTGAATATAAGCGGTAGCAGTCGGGTTCGGGCTAAAACCTGGCGTGAGCGGGATTCATAATTTAGTCCCTCGCAGATCTCTAGTAGTAGGCCAAAATCTGCCTTTGTAAGCTTGTAAGCTTGAATCAATCTGGGGTGTGTTTCCCAAATAATGACATAATTAATGGCTGAACTATCAGAGTACAATGCATTGTTTGGGAAATGAACGATGTAGTGATGAGTGTTTCCCCAAACCCGTAGTTTCTCTGTCGCAGATCAATCATTTGAACCACGTTAGTTATAATGTAAAACCTCCATAATGACGCTCTAAACGGGGTGGAGTATCAACTTCTTTAGAGAAAATTACCAGCATTTTTTGTATAAAATTATATTCTTTTACACACACAGACTTAAAAAAAAAAATCCAACATTAGTTTTAGTAAAAACATGCAATCACTTTCTATATTAACTGAAATATATATAAACGGCACATATAGGGCCTATGTTTCTTTTACAAAAATTATTGAGAATATTACATATTCTATTCTAAAACATAAAACTACGTAGCTAACATTCTAATCTCATACACAAGCCATATAAATTGTTTATGGTTGTAATTTACAGTAGGCTATTTATTAACAAGAGTAATAATAATTATTATTGTTATTTTATTATTATTAAGTAGGATATTGTTTATTTTTTAATTTTTTTTTAAAGTCTATATTTACAACTGTGACTTTTAAACCAATGCAGAAATGTTCTAACCGCTAGGCCAATGTCAATTACAGTAGGCTACAGATATATTTCTAAATAAATAGGCTACTATAAATTTAAAGCAGGGCGACGTGGTGGTGCAGTGGGTAGCACGATCGCCTCACAGCAAGAAGGTTGTTGGTTCGAGCCTCGGCTGGGTCAGTTGACATTTCTGTGTGGAGTTTGCATGTTCTCCCAGTGTTTGTGTGGGTTTCCTCCGATTGCTATGTTTTGCCTTACAAGTTTAAAGACGTGGTACAGGTGAATTGGGAATGCTAAAAATTAACCATAGTGTATGTGTGTGAATGAGTGTGTATGGATGTTTCCCAGTTATGGGTTGCAGCCGGAAGGGTATCCGCTGTGTAAAACATATGCTGGATAGGTTGGCAGTTTATTACGCTGTGGCGACCCCAGATTAATAAAAGGATTATGCCGAAAAAGAAAATGTATGAATGAAATTTAAAGCATTAACGTATGCTTTATATTTTTGTTTTCACAAGCATTGTTGGCGTAATGTAAATTTCGCTTATAAATCATAAGTCACCTATAGCTTTTGTCATGAGCCACAGCTGCATTCAAAATATCATAAATGTTTTCAAAGTGTACTGCGAAGGGAGCGCAATTATCAATATGAAGATCGCTTAAACTAAACTGTAAAAAAGCTTATTACACATAAGAGAGATGACTTTAATGTTTTTTTTAATCATATCGAGTTTAAATAGTGGAACGTTTTAAATGAAAAGAGCATAGGGGGGATAACTTGGAACTAGCTACTTTCTAACTACAGATCTAGAGGTGTAGTTACAAGCGTAAAGGTTTGTGATGCACTTTGCGAATGATCATTGAAACAACATATTTGGGTAACACTAAATCAATAAACTATGTTTGTAAAAACAGAGCTTGCGACCTATATTTGGCTAGCAAAGTTTTTTGGAAACCCTCCCCTGATTGGTTTATTGCAAATTAAAGATGAGAGCCCAGCCGCGATCAATCATATCACATGCTCCTCTTGATATTAGTTTGTAAAACTTCATTTAAAATGAGCTGAAACTACACAATTCTTGAGACTTTTTGGGACAACTTATTTGTTTTATGTTCAATCCACTTAAATTTGTTATGATAACTGATTTGTGTCAAGACACACAATGAATTGTGTGAAATTGTGTGTTTTTTACAGTGTATATAAACTAGTTAAAATATATTTTTACATTCAAAAAGTTGAATAAAGTTGACTTTAAGTGAACTATTCAGATCATGTTACTTTATATCTATGAATTAACAGCATAAAAGACTCTACAGATGTAACACAATAAGGTCCACTGTATTATATTTAAATGTATGCAAAAATCTAAAGCCTCAAAACTGTTATCATGAGCAAATACAACAAGCCTATTGACAGATAGTTTTTTAAACGCTTTTAGCAAGTGAAAGGTCTTAATTTAATGATGAAAATATCTCTCTTTTCTTTTGTTGTAGAAATGTGATGTTTATATGAAGCATATTGTATTTTGTTTGTTTTATATAAAAAATAGCACTTACTGGGCTAAAGCAACTTAATTTCCAAAACCAATTATACATTTCTGTATAACACAATAAATCCAAATCACGAAAAGCATTTATACACTGTAAAAAATACTGAGTTTCACACAAATCCTTAGTTGTCCTGTCACAAATCGATTAAGTTCACTTAAATGTTTTTGCAAATTTAAGTGGACTGAACATAAAACAATTAAGTCGTCACAAACCAAGCTCAGGAATTGTGTTGATTCAGCTCATTTTAAATAAGTGGTTTGAACAAGCAGCAAAATCTGAGTGTACATAATTTTACCAACTTGCTTACTTAGAACATATAAAGCAACAAAGAAAATATTTTATGTAATTAGTCTGCTCTAACATCAAAGACTTCTACATTGTACCCAATTATACATGTCATATTTGGGCAACAAAAACATGTAATGTGTCAAATTTGAACATACCATTCAATAATTTAAAAAATATTTTTTATTAGTTTCTATTATTGTTTTTTATCAGATTTTACAGGCTGAATAGTCTAGAAATATTTGTAATCTAAATTCAAGACATTTGTGACTATACTCACCAGCTGCGTTAACCAATAGCCAGCCCTCTTCGTCCACTTCTGGGGATGCTGGTTTTGGTACAGTTGGTTCCTGAGTTGTTTCATTCACGCTTCCGAACAGCAGATTCGTGAGCCGTTGAAACATGGTTATAATTTACTTGTGATTGTACTGAATAATTGATGGTGAGCTTGGTTGGTATAAACTTCTCCTCTCAGGCAGATATGAAGAGCAGAACTCAGCAGTTTGACCTTTGGTAAAGGAAAAATGCAACTATAAATGTGTATAGTTCATGCATATAATTATATCCATTTATCAAGGAGTGATTAGGAACAGCACATGACTGGGGCAGGCTAAGAGCTATTTTAAAATCATATTGAGGCCATTCTTTCATAAAGTACTCATCTGTCAGGCGTCATTGCAAGCAGGGACTAGTTTTTTCACAACAGACATAAAGTAAGGTTGATTTTAAACTTAAACAAAGAAACACTTCCAAACACAGTGATTTTCCTCATTTGTGCACTCTAAAAAATGTTAAACATTTAGATTATATTGTATTTGTTATCATCAGTTGTAGTTAGGCATGGGACAACAATCGTTTTCAAAATTGACTTTGGTTTTTTAAAAAGTCAAGCTTTTAAAACCACCAAAATTTTCTGCTCTACCGTTCCGACATTTTTTTTTCCGATTTGTTTTTTGGAACAACAGTATCTTTAGCAGAAAAGATATCCAAGATGCTGTTTTTAATAGTAAAGAAATCTGTGTTTGAAACAAATGAAGACAGCAGAAGTCAATAATTAATTTGAATTATTTAGCCTCACATGTTTACTGCTCCAAAATATTTTAAATGTTTCTCAAAATAAAATATATTGTGTTCAAAGGGGAAAGTTTTAATTTTTTTTACCTAGACATTTAAAATATATATATATTAAAGCAGTAATCACAATACCATGATATTTTTATCCAAGGTTATCATACTCAAATCTTACCTAGATGTAGTTGTTCAAAATATGACTGCAAACTAATACTCATATCTTAATTTATTTGTTCACATAGTCACTAAAAGGGACAAACTAAAATTTGGGAGTGCATTGTTGGACCCCAGCTCCATTGTTGGTGTCCATCTGTCGTCCTCCCAGCTGGAGGGTGTGTGCCAGTGCCACTTTAAACAATACCAACGTTTTCTCTGAAAACACTATATGCATCATGCGCAAATACTTTAATTTCAATGGTTTTTATGCACGGTTCATTCATCAAAGAGCTGTTTAAGGATGATCTGGACAATTTGTTTTGATCTAAATAACGTTAAACACTAATCATACATAAAGGCAAGTCGAGGACAATACGACAGCCACGTATGTATCTGTTTGTTGAGTGAGCTTGAAAAAGCACACCGGCTAAAACATACTCTTAATCTGAAGAAATATAAATGTCAATACTATAAGTACAGCATCTGCGAGAATGTACATTAAGCGCTTATGGTAAGAATGGGAATAGGAAACACAATGTGAGCATACATAAACATTTCTATAAATGTACACACAAATTTTACGTTACATACAGTACATGGAAAGAAAAAATGATTTGCTTATATAAACAAGGTTGAAAGAAAACATACCTTGTAGGTCTAATTCGCATTAAATTAATCTTTGGTTGTATAATCCGAGGTAGATGCGGAATATTTGTTCTTTTCTTTTTGTAATTTATGCTTTTATTACACAAAAAAACACAGCACCGCAGTTTAGATCACGACGAACAGCTGATATTAAAAACAAAAAGCCCAGCGAAGTAGACCCGCCCACTGATTTTGGCTAGTCCAATAAGATTCAAACACAAACCGAAAGGCGGAGACTTATATAAACGGGGCGCACTTACCGTTTTACAGCTACTACAGACCTAGGAACAGTTGTAACATTGTACTTTAAAACTCATTGGCCGGTTTTGAGTACAGCTGACTCCAGGTCAGTTGAGAATAAAGCGAGTTAGGGGGAGTATTAACAAAATTTGAAAACTGCAGAATGTTCCTCAGCAACGGATACACGGACACTAAAACACATTTAAAGGGGGAGATCATTGAAAAAATAAACCCACCTTCATGCTGTTCCATGAACTCACCATAAAAATCACTTGCTTTCTTTTGTAGGGCACTGAAAAAGGCACAATGCTTCAGTCGCCAGTCAATTAAAATATACAGATGCACTGATGATGATCAATATAGTGACTGAAGCAAGCTGGTATTTCAAAACTTCTGTCTTTAGTATTATTAAATAAATATTTAATCGATGTGATTAATAGCACATATATCACATTAGTTTCAGCGAATAATTCTGATGATCAATTCATCTTTATTTCTAGCACATTTTACAATGTAGATTGTGTCAAAGCAGCTTAACATAGATGAAGAATGAAGAATGAAGTGGTGTAGTATGCTGATATAGTTCTAGAGAAATTATAACCTCTTCAGTTTAGTTTAGTATAAATGCCACTACTGAAGTTGAGTTCAGATCAATATAACGCAAATGTCACTGCTTGTCACTGAAACTTCACCAATGTATGAACGTGAAGGGGGGAAATAGCTGATATCTTACAACACTTATATTGTGGCCTCTTGCCATCAATTAAAATTACAAATTGTCAATACACAATAGAAACAAACTCAAATATACCTTCAAATATTCTTACTCTGGATGCTCTATAATTTATAACTGATGCACCTTTAAGTTTTCTACAAACTAAACTGAAATATTCAGAAAAATCCTATTGATTTAATATTGAACCAAACTTTCTGACTTCATTTTATTTGATTTATTTTATTTGTTTATTTGGTAGGGACAGTGTACATTAATTAGCACTTCTGCATATGTACCAGAATTAGCCAGAAGTCTATTTTTCATCTGTTGTCCTTGAAAAACCTAAAAAAAAATCAATACAAGAATTATACAATTAATCAAACATAGTTAAGAAGCACTAAAATATACATAGTTATGTAGATGTTGATAAAAAATAATATATACAAATTAAACTAAAACCCCAACATTTTGTAATAGAGATAAAAATAGTTGAAACACATTTAAACAACAAATCATTAAGATGGCACAAATGGAAACATGCTAGGTTAATTCTAATAGGAATCATGGTACGTCTGATTAAACCAGACTTTTAAATGTTTTTTGAACATATAAGGCTTTTATAGCTCTGATGCTGCCAGGGACAGAATTCCACTCCTGTGCAGCTGTAACTGAAAAGGCACCCAGACCAAAAGTACTTTTTTGGAGTGGGACAATACAGTCTCCTCGGGCTGCCCCTCGTGTTGCTCTGTGTGTTCCTGACGTTTACAAACTGACTGAGAGGTGGGGATGACAGACCATGAATGATTTTATACATCAGACAAATGTTTGAACACTTAATGACATTTTTCCAGCTTAACAATTTATGTTTTTGTAAAATGTTACAATGATGATGTCTTAGAGGCTTTTTATCCAGTATTTTAATTGTTTGTAAAGTGACTCTATGGGTTTAAGTGTTGTTTTGTTTGCCTGTGACCAGGTTGTTAGACAGTTGGTTATATGTGAAAAAAAATTATTGAATGAATGAATATTTTAGTTGCCTGAAGTGATTAATGTGACCTTATTAACCGGAAATTAGATATAATAAATTTAACACGCAACCATACCTTTTTAATTTGTGATTTTTTTTTTACATGTATTTTTTACATGGAAAAAAGTGTTTTTAGCAAATGTAATTGACGACAAACTTTTATTTAATAGACAAATATTATGATGAATACAAAACTATTTATAAAAGTTAATTAGATTTTGACTTCTGACCACTGAAATAAATTGTTATTTTAATCGTATTAAATCATCATACTGGATGTGACAAAAGCAACACATCTGATGCAATTTAAAAATACATTTATTAAATACAAGACAACGTTTTAGGTTAAATTTAGACAAACTTGGTATTTTTTTTAGAGTACTCAGTGTCTTACTAAATTTGGTTTACAATTTTCTTTTATTTTTGCCTTTGCTCAAAAGCACTTATGCATCTGAATGTCTAACACAAACTGCTGTAGGCTACTTGTACCATTGTTATGTTGAAAAGCAAAATCATTACTTTATCAAAGTTAAATGGCTAATTTTTAATTATTTATTTATTAATGCTTACACGCTAATGTATTTTTTGTAACTTAAACATGAATAAAATGCAGTGCTCTTATTTGTACGTAAAACAACGTAAAATAACTTACTCACCACAAGGGGGAGCCAAATTCAAAGTTGTACTTTCACGAACCACTTAAACCAAGCTCATTCCAGACTCACGCTGACATCTGTTGAAAAGTGCATTGTGCACTTGTCAGCTCATCAAAAGCAGGTAATAAAACATCACCAGTTACAGTGTATAATATATAATGCACTCGACGTTAAAATAAAACGTGATGACAGAGAACATTTCAGCTGTAAACGCTGCATCTGTGCAAACACCATCTACGTGCACTGCAGATTAATGTTGCACGCGCTAATTCTATCATCGTTCATTGTGCAAACTAGTAAAAGGCACGCGCATTTTCTTTCACAAAAGCTTTTATTGAAATGAACGGTGATCTGGCTATCTCCACACATTGGCTTGGAGTCGCGAAGTAAACAATGAGTTTACAATGGCTATTTTGCATGATCTTGATAGGCACGAATTAAACAATTGGCTCATGTGTATTACCTGCGAAGTGCGCTTCGGAACATTCACACCTAGGCAGCAGTCAAGTGCTGGGTAATTAAATGAAACACTGACGACAGCGATGTCTGTTGGCTGCTCTTTTGGGCGGGTCCAAATGGACGTAAACCCACTTACTAGACTGTCAGGCTATTTTAAATAAGTACAGGCTCACTAATTGTAGTGCATTTCACATCAGCGTTCACGTTACGAGAAGCACGGATTGGATCGTCGTTGCATTTCTGGGACTATCTGAGAGTGGAGGATTTAGTTTTTCCATCACTGAAAGTAACTGGAGTGGACTGATCAACTTCAGAGTTCAGCATGCCTCGGTCTTTCCTGGTAAAGAAGTATTTCACCAGCAAGAGGCCAAACTACAGCGAGCTGGAATGTCAGAACGGTGAGAACTGCTGTTTTAATCGAGTTAAATGTAAATGTTTTAAACAGTACACTTGTCACATTGGTTGACTTTAAGGTTTAGAATAACGAAAATTGCATCTTTTAGTTCATTTTGTCTTCAAATCACACACCCGACAAGTGAAGCCAAACTTGGATAGTTTGGAATTAGATTATAGTCGAAAAAAGTCTCCTTTGCTCACAATTGACTAAATTTATTTGATCAAAAACACATGAAATGTTGATTATTATTTCAATCCTTAATTTCTATGTGAATGCATTTTAAAATGTATTCCTGTGGTGGCAGAGCTATTTTAGTTTCTTTTACTTAAGTCACATGATCCTTAAAAATCATTATAATATGCTGATTTGGTGCATAAGACATGTTAATTATTAGCTATGTTGGACATACTGTTTTGTGGAAACCCAAGATTTTATCTTTTAAAGTACTTTTATTAATCAAGGACTAATTAAATTATAAAGTATAAAGACTTGTATAGGTTTGCAGAATCTGTTATATCAAATTAATGTTGTTAGTTTGAACTTTCTATTTCTCAAAGAATCCTGAAAAGTGAAATGCAACCTGATTTGCACGAAACACAAAAGTGTTTTCACCATTGATGATAATAAGAACCACTAAACTAAAATTGAGCACTAACTATATTAGATTATAACAGAGCAGCAAATCACATTAAAATGATTTCTGAAGGATCATGTGACACTGAAGACGGCAATGATATTTAAACTTTCAGCTTTACCACCTGTTGAACATTCAGCTTTGAAGAAAAATATATTTAACACCCAGTAAGACATAAAACAGTTATTTTAAACTAAAATATTTCACTACATTACTATTTTTATTACATATTAGGTCAAACGAATACAGCCACGATGAGCAGATCACTCTTTCTTCACTGAATCTGGTTGCATTTCGATGAAGCACATGCATTTTTTTGGTCCTTTGCATCTTGTTTGCATTGCATCTAATTAAATAATAATAATAAAAAAAACTGTTAAGTCATATAGGATGAACCAAACATCCAGAGTAATAATAATTTTCCCTTTCTCTCTCTTTCCAATCAGACACTTCACCAGACAGATACCCGCTAGCAGAGCTTCCAGCAGTCAGCAATGACTTCCCAGTGACGTGTTTGACCACCGGACTGGTCTGGGACGTCAGCTTGCTACCTTCCCTTCACAATTCCCCATCCCCGTCCACCCTCTCCACAAACCAGGGCCCGCTGGACCTCAGCTCCCCATCCAGCATCAGCTGCAGCAGCAGTGGGGAAGAAGATGAAGGACGGACGTCAGACCCACCAAGCCCAGATTCCTCTGACACCTATCACCCCCAGCAAACTAGCAGGCCGCGACGCTCCAACAAGAGCAGGGCTGGACAGAGAGAGGACAAGAGCGAGGCTGCAGTTACTGCCGCCAGTCGACCAGCCTTCTTCTGCAAGCACTGTCCTAAAGAGTACAACAGCCTCGGGGCGCTGAAGATGCACATCCGCTCCCACACACTGCCCTGCGTCTGTCCCACCTGCGGAAAGGCCTTCTCCAGACCCTGGCTGCTGAGGGGACACATTCGCACACATACAGGTAAATCTGAGCGTCTTTTTATCAACAAGTGTAGGAAATGGCTAATTTCTTGAACTAATTTTAATTATTAATTAATTATTTTTATTATTAATTATTAATTTTTTATTATTTTTAATTTTTAATTTTGTTTTATGATGATTTATGTCCTGATTAGAGCATTTTGTGTATTTTAAAGTTGTATTATTTAAAAATTGCATGTATATTTATTATTTTTATTTAAAATGTAGCAAACTGCTACAATTAGTAAAAAATTTTACCAATCTGTTACATTTTACATGGGATGTTTGCTGTTTAAAATGGCAGTAGGTCTTTTTTTATTTTATTTTTTAAAATAGCTTACAATGGAAACAATACATTTACGGCTAAAGTTTTTATTTATTTTAGCTTTTAGTTTTAATTTGAGGTAATAATTTAAAATGTGGGTGACACGGTGGCTCAGTGGTTAGCACTGTTGCCTCACAGCAACAAGGTCACTGGTTCGAGTCCCAGCTGGGTCATTTGGCATTTCTGAGTGGAGTTTGCATGTTCTCCCTGTGTTGGCATTGGTTTTCTACGGGTGTTCCGGTTTCCCCCAAAGTCCATAGACATGAGGTAAAGGTGAATTGGATAAACTAAATTGGTCTTAGTGTATGTGTCTGTATGTGAGAGTGTATGGGTGTTTCCCAGTATTGGGTTGCAGCTGGAAAGGCATCCGCTGTGTGAAACATGATGGATAAATTGGCGGTTCATTCTGCTGTGGCAACCCCTGATGAATAAAGTGACTAAGGTGAAGAAAATTGAATGAATGAATAAATTTTGCAAAGTAAATACTACAATTAGTAAAACATTTTACAAATCTGTTTCATTTTACATGGTGGCATGTTTGCTGTGTAAAATGAAGGTAATTAATATTTTATCTGAGCTTCTTTTTTATTAACAAGTGTAGGAAGCGGCTTATTACTTAAATGTTGAGGATTGTTCCTTTAAATTTGTTTCATGATGATTTATAAAAATGTTTATTTTAAAAGAGCCATTTTATGTATTTTAAAGTTGTTTTATTTAAAAATTGCATATATATATATTTAATATTTTTATTTTAAATGTAGCAAAATGCTACAATTAGTAAAACATGTTACTAATCTGTTCTGTTTTACATGGGACGTTTCCTGTGTAAAATGGAGGTAATTTGTATTAAATTTTTTAAAAAGTTTTGTAGCTTATAATAGAAACATTCCATTTAAGAATATTTTTTTATTTTAGCTTTTAGTTTCATTTGAATAAGGATTTGAAATTAACATTTAATGATTTACATTATACTTGTATCTAGCTATTAAGCTTTAAAGTTTGTGTTTTTTCACCTAAATTGCTTTAAATTTGTTTTAGAAGTTATTTATTTATTTAGATATTTAATTGATGGTCACTATTGCACATTTTGTTGACTAAAAGTTGCATTGCAACTACATGTCAATTACTTCTCATGTGAGCATTAGTAGACTGTCTGCTTAGTATCTGCTGACTGCTCCTTCAATGGACATTTAACTGACTATAAGAAACTTTACAAGTACATGTCAACTTACTCTAACCCTAACCCCAACCTAACAGTCTACTTATAATCCATAGAGAATTAGTTGGCAGTGTAACTTAAATTCAACAAAATGCATTAAAGGGACCCTCAAAATAAAGTGATACCATTTCATAAAATAATTTTTTTTTTGTTCCAAATTAGATTAATTTTAAGACAAAGTAAAATCTTCCCTTTTACTATGAAATTTTCTATATTCTCCTATGTTTTTTCCTCTTACACCACTCCATTCTACATAACAAAGTTTTCTAATGTTAAATACAAATTCGATCTTAAGTAATCTCTTCTAGGCATGGGCCGGTATAAAATTCTGACGCTATGATAACCTTGAATAAAATTATCACGTAATCACAGTATTGTGATTACTGCTTTAAAATATCTTCTTTTTAAATGTCTGGGTAAAAAACTTTTTCCTCTATTGACCATAGTATACTGTTGCCTTTAAAAAACTATCCATAAAAAAGTAAAGGTGAAATTAACCCATAATAAAACATGGAGAAAAAAAACTTGGGGTTTTAAAACCATGAATCAAACCACAATTAACCTTGTAATAGGTTATCGTTCCATGCGTAGTCTCTTTCAAAGCAAATGTCTTCCATTTTCCTTCTGAAGCCTCCAGAATCTCTTTTAGCGGTCATTTCATTAATGCATCACCATTAGTTTAGTGATTCACTCAAGTCACTTGAGTTTGTCCTCAATAGACTTGCTTTGCATTGATCATTGTGTTGACGTCGTCTTAACAATGACACAATAGGACAATCTTATCAATCACTAGTGTGAGAGGCCAGATAAGCCCAGATAAGTGGATCGAGAATTCCAGTGAGCCCTCTTGTTATCATCCTTGCTGAGCATCCACTTATTTTGTGTACTCTCAGTTGATTTAATCAGTCACCCATGTGACTGTGATTACCCAAGTTGATTACAAAGCACACATCTAACTGTAGCTTTTACCGCTTTCTTTCCTCTCAGGTGAGCGTCCGTTCTCCTGCCCACACTGTAACCGTGCCTTCGCAGACCGCTCGAACCTCCGCGCGCACCTGCAGACCCACGCAGATGTGAAGAAATACCAGTGCAGCACCTGCTCTCGCACCTTCAGTCGCATGTCACTGCTGCAGAAACACAGCGCGGCCGGTTGCTGTCCCTCCACGGCCAATGTCCAATAGCCATTTTATTCTAATTCAGGACTAATGAGAAAAGCTTCTTCTCTAAACGGGCACAATATTCAACAGAAGGATGACGCATCATTAAAGCGGACTTCTTAAAACATTTCCAAATGCCTTTTTCCTCGAACCAAAATACTTCAGATGAAGGAATTATGAATGTTAAGGGTGTCCTGAAGCAGCTGCTGTCAGGTTGGGGGTGGGTTGACTATGGTAGGGTATGTCTCTCAGCATGACACACACACACACACACACACACACACACACACACACACACACACACACACACACACACACACACAGACAGAGACAGCTGTTGTGTGGTGCGGAGGCAGTGTGCTAACAGGTGCCCTGACCGCCACATCTCTGAAAACAGGTGGCGTCTGCTGATTTCTCTGGAAACACACTTGGAGAGAGTCCTTATGGAGCACAGTTGACTGCTTTACTTTTTTTTGATGTTGTTGGTTTTAAAGTTTTGTAGCTTGCATGCGGAAGGTGCATCGCATGTTTTTTTTTTTTCCAATAATTCTTTTCACCAAAGATTGTTTTTTTTACTCTGTCTATTGTTCTTTTTTTGTACAGTTTTAAGTGCACTCCAATTTACCAAAGAGTATTGAAGTCCATTCATTTTGTATTATATCGAGTGATTGGACCATTGAAACCAAAGCCATGCTTTTTCTTTTGTGTGTGTGTAATTTAAAGAGTTTTGAGACACTTCTGAATTTGTGAGGAAACGGACATTCTTATTAAACAACTACCAAATTTTATACACCTATCTATATTCCATCAACTTTTCGTCACATTTTATTGATGCCAGAATTTGTGCATAAAGTGTTTTCTTAAAACCGAATGAGTTCAGTGCAATTTTTAGCATTTTGTTTTTCTTATTTCTTTTGTATTTGTCCAAATCATTTCCATTCAATAAAATAATTTAAGTTTATACAAAGACTTTGGTTTGTGCTCACTGTGTTTGTTAGTTACAAAATGCCTGACGGCTCTCTATTTACAGCTGTTGAAATGCACGATAGTGCTTCAGTACTCGGTTGAAGATGCAAGGGCATCCACTGATAAATCAGGGACTACGCTAAAGGAAATCACTTTGAGAAAAAGTCATAACCAATTTTCAGTGGTGTAAAGTAACTAATTATGAATACTCAAACTACTGTAATTAAGTAGTTTTTCTCAGAAACTTTAAGTCATGTGTACTTACTTTCCATTGAGTACATTTTTAGTGCTGTATCAGTTCTTTTACTCCACTACTTTCCTTCAACCGGCAGTCACTGCTTTTTTACAATTTTTTTCTTGTCTATGGGGATTTTAAAAAATCAGTCCTGTAATTCCTGTCCAATCAAATCCCACATAGAAGGTAAATCGCATCATAATAAACTACCTCAAGACAAGGGCAATGTATAATTGCAGCAAACTTTTTGCAAGCATTTAAAGTGTCCAAGATTTCCAAAATCTTTACAGACATTAACCAGAGGCTGTTTAGATCATAGGTCTCAAACTCAATTCCTGGAGGATCGCAGCTCTGCACCGTTTTGCTCCAACCTTATCAAACAAAGCAGATCCAAATAAGAGTCATGAACATCTTCATTAGTTGGATCAGCTGTGTTTGATCAGAGCTGCAGTCCTTTAGGACTTGAGTTTGAAACCTATTGTTTAGATGGGTGTCACTGATAAGAAGATGATGGATGTTTACTGTATGACGCCTTGAAGTGGCCTTAAACCTGCAGACACAGGATGTCAGCATGATGTCAGATTGACATTGTACCCCAACGTCGTAGGGATGTTGTATTATGTTTGGAAATGAAAATCAGGTTGACATCAGACCCAACGTCTGGCCGACGTCAATATTCAACGTCCAACCTAAAAATTAACTGAATATCAGCGTCTAATGATATTACAGCTTGATGTTGTGTGGATGTCACTATGACGTCTATCCGATGTTGGATTTTGGTTGCCATACCTGATGAAAAAATGTCAGTATTTGACATCAATATGATGTTGGTTAAGGATGTTGGCTTAACGTTGAATTTTGGTTGCTTTCTAACACACCTAAAATCAACCAAATATCAATGTCATTTCACGTCATTTATTGGATTTCAAAAAAACGTTGACTCTGTGATGTCAGGTGACCAAAATCCAATGTCTTGCCAACCTAAATCCATCCTTTATATTATCTCCTTATGACATTGTGTCATAGTAACTAAATGCACTACAGAATGTTACGTTTACACACATTCACAAATTACATGTAAATGCATCAGCTTTTTATAGCATAATACTCACTACTCTTGAGTACTTTTGAAAGGTCTACTTTTTACTCATACTTTGAGTAATATTTACCACAGATATTTTTACTTTACCTACCCTATATTTTTAGCCAAGTACTTTAACTTATGTACGATTTTACAGTACTCTTTTCACCACTGCCAATATTATGACTGCTTATTACTGACGGCTGTTGGTTGCTAAGTGATGAGATCTGTCCTCCGTAGGCTAGATCGTCTACTTTCAAAATTGCTCAGTTTGGCCTGTGTGGACTTTGGAGGACTCATCTTTGGAGAGTACACAGTGTCGTAGCGCAAAATGAATTTGTGAAGAAATGGACATTCTTATTAAACAACCACCAATTTTATACACCTATCTATATTCTATCAACATATTTTATTGATGGCAGAATTTGTGCATAAAGTATTTTCTTAAAACCGAATAGGTTCAGTGGAATTTTTAGCATTCCTTATTTGACGTTTCTTTGTATTTGTCCAAATCATTTCCATTCAATAAAATAATTTAAGTTTATACAAAGACTTTGGTTCGTGCTCGCTGCGTTTGTTACAGTTAAAAACACCTGACGGCTCACTATTTGAAGCTGTTGAAATGCACTATAGTGGCTCATTTCCCATGAATAGGAGTGACTCACTGGTTTGTAACTGTGATGTTTGCTGGGTGGCAGGTGAACAGGTGAATGCGCTATGACAGCACAGGGACAACTGCATGCACCTGCTCTACACACCTGTCACACTGCACGCACACACACACACACTTCCTCTCTGCAAACAAAACGGTTTACCATAACAGATCCTGGCCTGCTTATGCATATGGGATGTGTGTTGATCTTAAAGTGTATGCATGTCCAGTGCAGCAGATCTGTTTTTATATACAAGACATAAAGATGTCACTGTGGCCTGATGGCGTTTTAGTCATCTGAGGGCTCTGTGTTCGTTCAAACTGCAATTTTGCTTCAGGAGGTATTGCTGCAAGGCTAACTGATGGAATGTCTTACATAAATATTTTCATGTTGGAAGCTTTGCTTATGAGCGTTGGAAGAGTTGCGTGTGTATGCTGCATTGATATAAGGCACTCCTATCTGTTGACCTCAAAACCTTGCCTGTGTAACTAATGCCTAAAAAAAGGACTGAGCGAGGATCAGATCCCTACTATGAAAGGCTCTTTCCATTCTGGAATAAAAATATGTGTCTTTATATGTTGCAATTAAACTTTTTAAATTACAAAATTGCAACTTTATGCATCAAAATGTAGCTTTGTTTTACACATTTGCAATTTCATTCTTCATAATTTTGAGTCTCACGATGCAGATTTATATCTCACACTGCAACTCTGTACATCAAAATAGTGAGAATGAATCCCTTAATGATTAAACCTATTTTAGGTCTCACACTTTTATTTGGCAATCTCACATCTTTAGCTGTGTATCATTTTAGAGGCTGCATCCTCAGAAGGATGCATTCGAAGGGCGATGTGTCATCACGACTAAAACACTCTCATTTCCCCCCAAAAATCAAAGGCTCCTTCAAATACAGATTCGAAATGCATCCTTTGTTTCCCAGGTAATAAAGTATACAACTGGTGGATTACAAACTCTGGATTACAGTTTTAAATGTTCGTATTAGGCTGTGTTGGGTATCTAAACGCATAATAAAAACAAAAAGAGTTTGACATTTCTTACTACTAAGCCATTTTATAGACAGTTTACATTTTTATGTGTACATGTATGTATATTTATTTTCATAGTCCATTTGAGTAGTAGTAGACTGTCTGCTTAATATCTGTTAATACTGCTCCTTCATCAGAAATTTAACTGACTATAAGAAACCTTGCGAGTACATGTCAACTTACACTAACACTAACCCCAACCTAAGAGTCTACTTATAATCTATAGAGAATTAGTTGGCATGTAGATGCAATGTAACTTAAATTCAACAAACGGAGCTTCAAAATAAAGTGTAAAAAAGGAAATATACAGTATTTCCAGTTTTTGTGAACCTTGTTTTGTCTTCAGATTGCATAATATAAGTTTAAAAATCACTTTGGCTGCTTTCAAAACTGCATACTTCCATACTATATAGTACGCTAAAATCAGTATGTGAGCCGAGTAGTATGTCTGTATTTATAGAATTCGAAAATCAGTATGCGAGAAGTACCTGGATGACTTAACTACTTTTGGAGAGATTCTGAAGTGTGCATCCGATGCACACTATGCTATCCCATGATGCCCTGCGAAAGAATTCATGAATGGGAGTGAAGCGACGCAACTCACGTGGGTAGGTCATGAGATCATGACAAAATGGGAGTACATAGTAGTACATCCGAGTTCCGCTCATACTGCTCACATTCATATTGTATAGAACATACATTTGTAATGGCAAAGTAGTTAATTTAAATTCAAATGCAGTACCTACTGGGTAGTAGGCAGTTTCGGATGCAGTCTATGAGTTTCCCAGTACTGGGTTACGACTAAAAGGGCATCCGCTGCAATAAAGATATGCCGGATTAGTTGATAGTTTATTTTGCTGTAGTGACCCCTTATAAATCGGAGACTAAGCCGAATGAAAATGAATTAAATCATTGAGGAAAAAAGTTATTACAAATTCTATTACCACTTATTAACAGCAACTTTTATGCTTGCTAGGTCTAGATCATCTCTTTTCATAAATCCTCAGTTCTAGATCTAGATCAAAGGATACAGCCTCTGAAATGAGACAGCTTTTGTCTGTCATGACTATATTTCTTAATATTGCATATTTTTCTGACAATTGTGACTATAAATATAATATTACAGCTTTTTTGAATATCTCAATTTCAAGTGACTTCATGTTTCACTATTGTACTTTTGTTTTCTTGCAGTTGTGACTTCAACTTTGTTTTTGTGAATCTCACAATGCAATTTTGCAACAATATGTTGCATAATCAGGCCCGAAGACAGGGGAGTTCCGGTGGTTCGAAAGACCCACACCCCACTGACAAAGGTCCAGAATTTGTCCCATATATGAGCTTATTTGTTCTATTTTGACTGCTATGCCATCATAAATTGTGTAAATAACTCAACGAAGATTATTATTTGCCTAATAGATGACAACAGGCTACTTGACCTTAAAGTTTTTTTTAATTTAAAACTTTAACAGATTAATTTTTCTAATAATATACGATGTGACAAATTTGTATTTTAAAAATAACACATAAACAAGTTTTTTTCATTTTTATTTATTCTAAACTTTTAGTAAATGTTTGTAGTTCATCAAAAAGTGTGGTTATGATGATCATGCGACAAGTTAATGCAGAAAAAAGTGCTTAAAATGTCACTAAAATACAGTATTTAATCTATAAACACTCAACTTCATAGTTAATACAAATTGAGGCGAGTAACTGCATAAAGGTCCTCTTTTTGAGAAATTATCAGCCTGTCTTGATAATATGACATATCTAACAATCGCAAACGTTTCTTGTTTAGAGTAGATTTGTTTCTTTCAACGGTCAATTTTTTCTCATTACATAGCTTTATACTTCACAACTGCCACCGTGCATCTCATCAAGTATTTTTGTGTCTCATCCATTATGATGTTATTTCTCACAGTTACTTTACAATGAATATAGTTACTTTATTTCTTGGCTTAAACTCACTTTTCATTGACTACTCTGAGGGG